ATTTCGCTATACACTTCTTACTCTACGTACAGACGTTTTAAAACTAGTAATAGCTTAATGACAGAATCGCAAACAAAAATGACAAAACACATATATGTCAAAAACATCAATACCTTGGCCAACTTAACAAATTGAAATTATTTTAAAATGTCATGTTGGATTAATATTTTTTTTTCAAATTTAGGTGTGAAATTTTCTTACCGAATACCACGCAAGCTTAAATTATTCCTGGAAATTTTCTTTCGGGCACGAATATTTTAGGAAAATTATCCCTCGTCTTCGACTCGGGATAATTTTCAAAATATTCGTGCCCTCAAAAAAATTTCCGAAAATAATTTAAGCTCTTGTGATATTATAAGTGAAAATTAAATACCTTACATATACTCCCGTACAAAAAGCAGAGTATAAATAAGTTTTTTTCTTGTAAATAACTTTCTTATCGTTTGCAGTTTATGCCCATGATGTTTGTTTAGGGCTTTTGTTCAAGTCTAAAAATTGGTGCCTGACTTTATACATATATATCACAGCCGCGCCGCGCCGTAGAAACGAATGATCGCATTGTAATCCGATTCAATTTTCACGATTCTTTTTTACGGCTCATCGTCCAAATCTTATGGATCCGTGCTGGCTACGATTCAATTGAATGAACCGTATTCTAAGTAGTGAATCAAATCTTTCAATTTATTTTTAATACTCGTTGAAATGAACGACTCGTTCAATCTTTGTCCACCTCTAATCTGTATTAAACTATTGAGTGAAGAAATATACATTTTCGCCATCTTTTACGTAAAAAGGTTTCTTGGTAAAAATCGCGACAAGCGCAAAGTTTATTAACGAAGTTCATATGATTTTTATATAATGGTTATAATATTTCACCGAATTATAAATATTTTTTCGCCACACATACGTTTTATCTAAAAAATTATACATTTGTGTTGAGTTTTTGGTTTAAATGAATTGTGTTGGGATACTTTAAGGTATTAACCACAGTTAGGTATTTACTAGCAGAACATTGTTCTTTTTATAATGCCCTTTATGTGTTAAGTGTTGTTAAGGAGGTGAGTTTTGTTGATGTAAATAATAACTGTTTAGATATTTATAATAAATTTATTTTTGTTTCCTAAAATATTTTGATTAAACGAAAATATGTAAAAGTGGACAACGCTGTGCCGGTCAATCTTAATCATGTGACTAAAAGTTTATTTGGTATGATCTTATAAATAGTTTTATATGATGTGAGATATATTTGATATTATATACTGTTTTGCTTATTTTTCTGTCGATTTATTTTATGATGTCATGTCATTTAACTTCTATTTATGTAATTCCTAAATGATTTTGGCTAAACAGAAATATTCATTGATTTTATGTCCATTTTTGTTGTATTTATAAAGGCACTGACACTACACTAATGATGTAAAATCTTGAAAAAAGGATTATATTAAATCTGTGATATAATTAAATTTTAAAGAAACAAACGGGTTGTTTACATTTTGTTTGTATAAAAAAAATATTACTTATAGTAGGAAGTGAAATTAAAATACATAAATGTAATTTATTACTTATCTATTAAAAAAAATAATAACGGGTTATACATTGAGCAGAGAGCTTTCAAAGTTAAACGGACGCCGCGCAGCTTCGTTCACTTCTCTTGTCACTATGCACTTTTTGGCACGGTAGGCGCGAATTCCATTCGCGCGCATCTCCCACTTCTTGTCCGTTACGACGGCGCTCAGGGTCGTCTTCGGCGATTGCCTACTATAGTTCAGCCAAACCGGACGCGGCAGCTCACTATAACGGTAGCGACCGTAAAATATTGTTACATAGTTATATTATTTACACATATCTATGTCTCAAACAGTCAAAGGTAGGTATTAACCACATTGCGAGCCTAAAAAAAATTCCGAAACTCATTAAAATCATCTTTAAATTTAGTATCTCTAAGATCGGCGTATCATATATTTCCAGATTATGAAAATTATCATAAAATTGACATTTAAAATTGGAAAATTAAACCGAATGTATTTAATAATACATGAAAGTTAGCAATCATTATTTTGAAAAAAAAAATAATACTGATTTATAAAGTTATTAATATTTAAATCACGACTTAATGTCCTAGTTATCTGAACTTATAATATTATAAATAGCGTCTTAATCATATAAATCACCATCATTTCCAGCTTATTCAACTATTTCCAATTATGGTGTAGCCTCCCTCACATATTTAGATACTCTCTTTGTAGTTGGGCCCATTGTTGTCTATTGTTGGCTATGCGTGCCGAAGTTATCTCTGGTAATTTCCTAATATCATAATCCTATCTCAAGTTTGGTCTTCCTCTTCTTCTTCTTCTTAAAGTGCCTTCCCCATTCAGTGAAGATCGGCAACAACCATGGCAAATTCCTCTCTATTTTTCGCTCTTCTCAGCAAAGTATGTGAGTCCAGGCCTGTCCAATCTCTAATGTTCTTCAGCCAGGAGCATTGCCGTCGTCCGGGTCCGCGCTTTCCCTCAATTTTACCCTCGATAATGAGCTGAAGGAATTCATACTTGCTATGTCTCATGATATGGCCCAAATAGGCTGCTTTCCTCTTTTTTATTATGTCGAGGAGTTCTCGGTCCTTGTTCATTTTCGAGACACGGTCAGTCCATGGTATTCTCAGCATTTTGCGATATACCCACATCTCAAATGCTTCCAACTTATTCATTACGCTTACTTTGAGTGTCCACGACTCAACCCCGTAGAGAAGTGTGGAAAGTACGTAGCACTTGACGAAGTTGTCTTTTATATGGATGTTGAGACGTTTATCGCACAGTAGGTTCCGCAATTTTAGGAAGTTTGATCTAGCCATCTCAATTCGAGCTCTGATCTCAATGTCTGGGTTTAGGTCTTCACTAATCCAACTGCCCAAATATCTAAACTTTGAGACTCTTGCTATTGGTGTCCCACCTACGACTACCTCCGTTGCCTGTCTTGCATCTCTATTTATCACCATGACTTTTGTTTTGTTTGTATTTATCCTGAGACCCATTGAGTCGCCCACCGAGGACAGTCTATCAAGAAGTCTTTGCAGGCCCTCAGTGGTGTCTGCAATAACGACGGTATCATCAGCATATCTCATGTTGTTAATCAGCCTGCCATTCACTTTTATGCCGTCTTCTGATCCCTCAAGCGCATTTCGAAATATTAGTTCGGAGTACATATTGAAGAGCATAGGGCTCAATACGCATCCTTGCCTAACTCCACGCTTGATAGGTATTGCTGTTGTTTCAGTGTCCTGTAGTTTTACTGTCGCTACTTGTTGTTCGTATAGCTTTTGGATAATTTTCAGGTCTTGGGTATCCAGGCCTCTTCTTTCAAGGATGCTCAGCAATTCCCTGTGGTTGACGCAGTCGAATGCCTTCGTGTAGTCTATGAAGCATAGGTGTACCTCCTTTCGTTGATCTCTGCACTTCTGCAAAAGCACCGATAGCGCAAACAGGGCTTCTCTCGTCCCCAGTCCCTCGCGAAATCCCATTTGCTGTTCACTTATGTCTAGCTCACATTTTCTTCGGATTCGATTATGCAGAACCTTTAAAAACAGCTTTAGGACTTGACTCATCAGACTTATTAAACGAAACTCATCACATCTTTTTGCACCAGTTTTTTTAGGAATAGGTATAAATGTCGACCTTAGCCAGTCCTGCGGTATGTTTCCGGTATTGTATACAGAATTGAAGAGGTTTACCAATAACTTTAAATTGTCTCCGTTTATTAGTTTTATCAATTCTGGGTAGATGTTGTCCGGTCCAGCTGCTTTCCCGTTTTTGGTGATCTTTAAAGCTCTCTCGATTTCTGAGATCATTATATCTGGACCATTTTCAGTTTCTATTTGGGAGTGAAAAGAGGGGCCACCGTCATCGAACAGTTCCCTTGTGTAATTGGTCCATACCTCCTCTAGTTTTTGTTCGGTTAGGATTGGTTTATTCTCACCGTCCACGATTCTGGTACATGTTCGAGGTTTGTGTTTCCCAGTGACTTCGTTGACTTTTTTATGTAGGTTAAACAAGTCATGTTTTTGGTGGAGCTCCTCGACTTCGCGGCACCTCTCCGCCATCCACAGTTCTTTGGCTTCTTTGATTTTATTTCTGATAAGCCTGTGAGTGTCTCTATATCTCTGAGGGTCTGTGCCTTTAAAACTTCGCCGCTTTTCCATGAGGTCTAAAATTTCTTGAGTCATCCACGCTTCATGGTACTTCTCGTTATTATTTGTTGTTAGTTGTTCTTGTGTTTCCTGCAGCGCTTCTTTAATTTTCTGGTCTTCCTCTAGGTCTTACTCTAGGTCTCTTAATGCCTCATGGGTACCATGCTGTAATTTCTGTGGTCCATCTGTGGTCCGTCCTTCTTACCAGGTGTCCTGCCCATTGCCACTTTGACGACATATATTACCTGTCTCTTTTGTCGTATCCACTCTATTCTTTTACAGTCTCTCTATTTTATTCCCGGCATATTTCGTTCCATTGAGTATTGTGCGACCTGGAGCTTTCCTTATAATGTCAGTTTTAAGTGTACAGGTTTCGCATGCATACGTCATGACTGGTCGATTGTTTTCTTCTTTAGATAAAGTGGCATTCTAGATTTGAATATGATTTTCTTCCATACGTACTCCATGCTAACTTAATTCTTCTGTTGATTTGTGGTAGTAGAGATCCAGAGCTGTGTATTATTTGTCCCAAATATATATGTTTTTCTACAATTTACAGTTTTGTGTTATTTATTAGAATATCTTTTCTATCTACTAGTTCGTGGTACATTACTTTATTTTTTGCTAAATTCATTTTGAGACCTACTTTATTGCTGGCTGTATTTAGTTCGTTAATTTGTGCTTGTAGTTCTTCAGGACTATTGGTAATTAGAACTATGTAATCAGCAAATTTATTTAAACTAATTATATTAAAGTCTTGAAATACGTATGCGCATTCGCACAAAAACTAACAATTACAAATTAGACTAAAACTTACCCTGTCTATACTGAACAACCCTCCTGCCATAGTCGGACTCCAAACCGGTTCAGCGCTGTTCTTGTGCCTCTTTTTCTCGTGATCGGGTATGGCGTGCCAGTTAAATTGCAAGTTCCAGTCGAAACCACCTACGTTCACTCCAGTACTGTCGTGGTACAGGTAGGCCAAGCTAGTGTCATCGATCACGTCGATGACCGGACATACCACAGTGGTAGAATTGCGAGCTATGCGGTCCAGCAGTGGCTCTAGCCAGCCTGTGGTGCATTCGCAGTGAGAATCGAGGTAGGTTAGGACCGGTCCTGTAGCGTAGTCAAAACCTGAAAGATAATACAGAGATAATCAATTTAGAACAAAGAATAATCATTTTAATATCAGTTTAATTCTTAAATTTTTATTATTAACCAAGTTTTTATTATCAACAATCTTTTTCCTTGAGTAAAGCTTAACTTTCATGCATCCGTTGTCCGAAGATACGATGATAAGATATTAATTTTATCGGGGTCAAGTGGCACATCGTTTTAAAGGGCGTTTAATTATCTTTTCAGTGGTATCCTACTTTGTTGCTTTTTGTCGAGTGGTTTCCGAATAATCACGTTTCAAAGTTGCAGAAACAATTAAACATGCCTGCATTGAGCTTTTGGTTTTCAGTCTAATGTTTACACAAAAATTATTGCAATGGATCTCCTTATAGTACAAAAGATTAGAAGATCACATTACACCACTTACACCTTATCTTATAAGTTGTTCAGAATGTTGTCCATTTTCCTGTTAATAATAATAAAGTGTGTTTTCAAACTCCTCCCTAACATTTCGGAAAACTTCATCGGGAATTGACCGGCATTCTGCTGTAATTCGCCTTTTAAGATCATCAATATCAGTAGGCTGTGTTCTATAAACAATGGATTTAAGATGTCCCCAAAGAAAGAAATCTAAAGGTGTTAAATCCGGTGATCTTGGAAGCCATTCAATTGGTCCCCTTCTGCCAATCTATGTACCCGGAAATCTCTCGTTAACCACTGTCGAATCGGAAGAAAATAATGAGATGGAGCCGCACCGTCCTACTGAAATGTTAACAAATTCTCCTGTATAACTGATTAGAGGTTGCCACTCATTCGAATTTAAGAAAAGAAACGTTAATATTTATGACGTTTTCTGTTTATTAGTATTTAGACCCCCCTAGAAAAATATAATTGCTACATCCATGTTTCCACCTAATCTTCTCATTATTTCTACAAGGAGATCCATTGCAATATTTTTTTATAAACACTAACCTGAAAACCATAATCTCAATGCAGGCATGTTTAATTGTTTCTGCAAGTTTGAAACGCGATTATTTGGAAACCTCTGGACAAAAAGGAACAAAGTAGGATACCACTGAAAAGAGAATTAAACGTGCTTTTGGCATGCGGTTTTCTTGTTTTCTGCATACGTGACCAGCCTATCTTAAGCAGGATTTTGTAATCATGACTTCAACGCTCGCTCAGCTAGCTCTTTCAAGGACCGATACGTTTCAGACATGGTGGAACCTTTTGATTCTTAAGAGTTGTGTATGGTATTTCTGTTGCAACTTGTTTAATGTATTCATGTGTCGGCGGTACGGCACCCAAGTTTCGCTTCCATATAACATGATGGGGATTATTATTGCTCGGTACACTGCAAGTTTCGTTTTTGTGCTCAAGGCATGGTTGTAGAAAATCTTTTCTTCTAACTTCCAGAATGCTCTCGAGGCGCTGCTAATTCAAATTCAACCATTTATATCAAAGGTATTGAGAGTAATAATGAATTAGTTTTGGTTAAAACATAAATTATAAATATCTATAAAAATGTATGTTAACACTTACCTAACAACCTCGCACGAATAAGTCCTAATCTCTTCGGGGCTCTTATAATCTTCACTCTGGGTTCTTTCTCCCAGTATTCCTCCAACTGTTCCTTCAGATGGTCCATATCGGAGAAGTCATCCACCAAAATGACTTCGTGGATCAGGTGAGTAGGTGATCTGTCAAATACTGAATGAACCGTTCTAAGCAGCACTGACCACGCTTCGTTGTGGAAACATATTATGACTGATGTTTTTGGCAAATTGGACTGATACCTTCCTGGTTCTTTGCACCTGAAAAAAAGAAAGAGTTTATTAATGCTGCTTCTTTTTTTTCCAAACTAAACGCTGCTTATTGTTTGGCTTCGATAGAGTGACCAGAATTGAAACGGATCAAGTCCAATTTTAAGATAATCGTCTTTATTCGTTAATAAAATATTGTTTTTTCCAGTAGAATAATGAATCAAGTCATTAAGCAACTATAGCCTGTTTATCCAATTTGTTTTATTGTAATTAAGTAACTTTAACACTTATTTTCTTCATAATTATCTTTTAGGACTTGATTCTGAACCTCTCATATGTAAATAAATATAGATTCTTGGGAAGATATTTGGGAAATATATTTAGGAAAAACGAATTTTCCGAAACAAATAAAAACAAGGTGCCCGGTGGCGTAGAGGTACAGGCTCTCGTCTACCAATCTCAAGGTAGTGGGTTCAAATCCCACACCCGGCATTTCATCAGCCGACTATTTTTATTAAAATAAAAATAGTTTGGGTACCTAGGTCTACTTAGCCTTAAATGAGTACTTGGGATTCACAATCCTGAAGTTGTTGAAGCGTAGTGCTAGCCACATTACCTTCCTTGTATACCGAACGGCTCTAGTATGGCAAGCTGTACCTTGCTACTCCCAAGGCGTCAAACGCTATATTATACGGGAGCTATTATTATATTAATAAAAACAAAATCGAAAAATTCGTTTTTTCCCAAATAACTTTGATAGGGTTTAGCGTAAGACATAAATTATTAAGACATAATTTTACTCTTATTTAATTACTTTTGTATCTCTTTTGATTTATCATATCTTGGCAGATTTTTTCACAGCTTACACTTTTTTGTCATAATTAAAAAATATGTTTTGAAACAATTGTTATACATATTTTTTCAATCTTTATTCTATTTCATCTGCGTAATGTTTGAAAACTTAAGTTACTAGAGGTTTCATTAGTATCAAGGTAGAAGGCCTAAAAGCCTTTAAATTGACCATTGAATGGATAAAGGATAAAAAATTTATTTTACTTTAAATTATTTATTTTGAAAAACTGAAAAACACTAATATAGGATCATTTTCTAGAAAAGGATATAACACAATACTAATATTTAACTAAAAATAACTTTTAAAAGTATGCTATTCATTTAGAAGTAACATATGCTACCAACTCTTATATTTTACTAACAATATAACAGACATTCAAAACATTTATATACACTCAGATGCCAAAGAACGCAACGGAGAAATTTTTAGTCAAATTTAAAGTGTTATATTTTTGTTATGTTTAGCCGTATTTTTATGATTTTTTTAGTAAGCTGTATATAATTACATCAACTTCCCAAAACGTCGAACATGATGGGCAGTTCATAGTAATATATAGTTCACAATAATCGCCAAGGCCGCCTTGTCATATTGAAAAATAACTTCAAAAAGAAATGATAACTGAAAAAATTGCAAATTGTTGATGGCAATTTCGATGATCCAAAAAACAAAATGCTCAGGGGACATGGTTCTGATCGTAACATTATATTTTAGGAAAATGTACACGCGAAATTATTGCACAGGGTGTTTTAAAATTAAGCCCCTCGATTAACCCTGTATAATATGCCAAATACTAAAGTTTATAATAAACTGAGTTTACGAATTAAATTTGACATAATTATACCGGGTGCGTCTCAAAAGTGGCTCACCCCTATAGCTTTTTTATTTTTTCAGATAAAAAAACGAGATTTGGTATGTTAGTATACGACATAAATTAGGATTGATTGACGTATTCAATTGTTTTTGGTCACTTCCTGTTTCACCGGAAATGACTACAACTTCTGATTTTTAAATGGCACCCTCGGTATTTTTTTAACTTTATTCGATAGAAAATGTCATTCTCAATAGAATGACATATCATATGTCAATTTTGACATTTTTGCATATGGTTTAATGGAAATTATACCTTGCGAGTTGTAACGAAAATTTGACTGTTGATACCAAGTGTGTGGTATCAAATTATTCGTAAAAAAATGCTTTTTCCAAATATGCTAATGAGCCAACCTCGTCCATTTGAAAAAATTGAGATATGATTAAAAATACGATTTGAGCGTTTTTTAACTGACTAGGACAAGACACTAAAAACATTAGACGATCAAATCTATGTTTCCAAGGCTCCTTGATTAAGAATTAGTGTTTTTAACATAGCCATTTTTATTAAACGAGAATGCCAAAAGCTGGCATATGATATGTCATTCTATTCAGAATGACATTTTCTATCGAATAAAGTAAAAAAATACCGAGGGTGCGATTTAAAAATCAAAAGTTGTAGTCATTTCCGGTGAAACAAGAATTGACCAAAAACAATTGAATACGTCAATCAATCCTAATTTATGTGATATACTAACATACCAAGTCTCGTTTTTTTATCTAAAAAAATAAAAAAGTTATAGTGGTGAGTCACTTTTGAGACGCACCCGCTATACAGCTTCCTAAAAAATTCATGAAAATAGGGCTAAAAATAATAAAAATATAAGTTATTTTCTAAATTTAATAAATTTGACCAAAAATTTCTCCGTTGCGTTTTTTTTGCATCTGAGTATTGAATCAACTTTTAAATTTTAAATTTAAATTTAATTAAAATTTATCTCGTTTCTTTCATTTTTTGCAGCTTTTTTGCAAAAAATTTATCGTCCGCCACTGGCCCGATGGAAAACCGCCACTGGAAAACGAAACGATTCGAAAGAAAACAGATGGTAATGGCGAGAGGAGGGAAACTCAATTTGATGCCTGACTTAATAAACCGAATAACCACCCAGAATAATAATAATAATGCCTATGGAAGTACCCAGTCAGATCGAAACAAGAAGAAAGAGAACGCTTTTTTTAAAGGCCTTTTGGGCAAATTGAAAAAATCGCAGGTCTATTCGGGGCTTAATGGTCCCGCTTTTTTTAAGCGAGCCTCTTGAGGTTTTTTTTATAGATATAGGTTTTAGAAAAAAAACATTACTGTATATTCTCACGCTAGCATTACATTAGATTATTGCAGAGGCGGACAGTACAACTGTTATTTTAAACAAGAGTTAGAAGTGTTATTGTTATTCATAATATAATTAACAACTTTCTATTTATTTGAGATTATTGTTAAGTAACAGGTAAGTATTGCGAATCTTCTAGAACTTCATGTAGCTGAAATTGTCTGTTGTTTAGATACCTATTATTTCTTGAAGTAACAACTGTTATGAGCTCGGTAGAACTTTGTGGAACGGCAATCCCGATTTAGCATTACGACCGATCCTTGTTTGCGCGTTGATATTTTCATACCTGTTATTGTTTGGATGTAAAATCTGTCGCCAACTGTTATACCAAAATAACAGTTCTTATATAACAGTTGGTATAATGAACCTAACCTAACCTAACCTAACAATTCGTCTCTAAGGTTTTAAACTTCGTTATCAGAAAAAATATATTTATTGTGTGAGATAGATAATACTAATTATTTTGTAACTGTTACTAATACAAATGGAAGACTTTATTTTATGAGTTAGAGCAATACCAAAAAAATACAAATTTTTCGTTGATTACTATACCGGGTGCGTCTCAAAAGTGACTCACCCCTCTAACTTTTTTATTTTTATTGATTTACGTATTCAATTATTTTTGGTCACTTCCTGTTTCACCGGAAATGACTGCAACTTTTGATTTTTAAATGACACCTTCGGTAACTTTTTACTTTATTCGATAGAAAATGACATGCTGAGTAAAATGACGTATCATATGTTTGACAATTTCGCTTAAAAAAATGTATTTTAAATTTCAATGTAGAGTGCTATGGCTGTGTTAAAAACCCTAATTTTTAATAAAGGAGTCTTGGGAAAACAGATTTGATCGTCTAACGTTTTTCGTGTTTTGTCTTGGCTGGTTAAAAGATGCCCAAATCGTATTTTTGGTGGTTTATTCCCTATTATTCACCACAATGCAATTTTGTGGAAAGGAATAATAAAACCATAACTACTGCTATCAGGTGTTATATTGATAAACATGAAGATTGGGATTTACACATACCTCAAATTAGACAGGCTATTAATACCGCAGTTCATGAAGAAACAATTTTTCCGCCAACTTATTTGATGTTCGGTAGACATATCACAATTTTTTCAAATGGAACAAGGGTGGCTCATTAACATATTTGGAAAAAGCATTTTTTATGAATAATTTGGTACCACACACTTGGTATTTCGAGTTACATTGTCGTTATGAATTGCAATGTTACAATTTCAGATAAACCATACACGGAAAAAAGCTAAACTTAAAGATTATTAATCTTGAACCAACGATATGCTAGTTTCCCCATTCCGCATATCTAGTTATACTTCTTTTCAAGAAAACCTTATCCTTAGAAGCTAAGAAAATTTATCTTTTATTTAAGATTTACCTAGTATTGAAATTAAGATGATAACTACACTCCAGACAATCCTAGATAAAATCTAGTTTCGAGTACTACTTATACATATTTGTAAATTAGCAAATTATTGCATTAAGTATAAAAATTCTTTGTGTACATGTAATAATTACTTTATTCAAATGTAATATCAATATGTACTATAAAATAAAGCCTCTTCTTACTTTTAGGTTAGTTACTAGACGCGCCGACTAGGTAGTTTATAAAATTATAAAGTTTTTTTGTTATCGTTTGTCCTTGTGATATGTGAAAATGGAGGACCTTCTTCAGGCATGGGAGATGACGATTTGATCCCAAAATTTCAAGGTAAGTTTAGCAATAATCCTACATTATTTGATGACATTGGTTGTAGGTTAGGGGGAAATTTTTAGCATGTCCCAACTCTATTATATTCATGTATGTTACCGGGCAAACCCGATTTTAGGATAAACTAGTTTTTCTTAGGACGAATATTAACCGGGATCGAAAAACTATATAGTTCTCACAAAATTCGGTAACGTGTACCCTATGCTTTCGGAGGTTCGGGTTCGATCTTGTTAGAAACCCTTGTTTTGGTAAAATCTTTTCTTAATTTCCATT